AAAAAAAAAAAAAAAAAAAAAAAAAAAAAAAAAAGAAAAACACACTTATGATGAAATAAGAAAGGAAACGTAAGTAAGTGGAGAGACAACCATGATCTGAAACAAGAAGTTTTTCTTCTGAATTTCACTTAGAAGAACAAATGCATAAGAATAAAGTGAATTTTGAAAAAGTAGTAATTGAAAGGATTTTTCACTACAAGATGTAAAAAGTTCTCATTCAGTTGAAATAAGTACAACAGGGCAGAGCTGACATGGGAAAAACATCCAGATCAGTAGGAAGGATGTGGAAACAAAATCTCAGCATATGTAAAGCTAAGGAATGCAGAAAAATAACAGATTACTGAGAGATCAAATGGAACATGGAATTGATTGCTACCTTAGAAAAATAAAATCATGCATAATAACAAATATGACTTCTTTACCCTTTTCTGATTGAAAAGATCATGAAGTACATGCATAGCATGCAGGAGACCCTAGGTGCAAACCCCAATATTGCTAAACAGGAGATGATCATGGGGGAATTTTCAAGTAAGTCCCCAAGACTATTCCACAGACATTCATCTAATATAGGAATTAGAACTAGTCTTGCAGGAAGCCTGGCTCCAAACCTAGTTCCAAGCCTCTTCTCTGTTTTCTTGTGATTTTAGGGATCTTGGTCACTGAGAGTTGTCATTTTTCCTACTAGGTGAGAAATTTGAATTTTATGTTTTCCAACTCTCAATCCAGTTCTGTGAAAGCTGATACCAAATTGGTAGGCCTATGCAGGGAACATGAACACAAAGTGTGGAGGAGACTGCCTGGTACTCAGCTTCTAACACTTAGCTAGATGATCTTAAGGAACCTTTTCATCATCTCTTTAGTTTCCTCAACTGAAAATACACCAAGGGCAACATCTCCTAGATTAGCCCTTTAGAAATAGGCAGTGCACTTAAGTGTTTCAGGTGATGCCTGATATTTACTTCCTCAGTTGTGTTATTTTTCAGTTGGAGATACTAGGAACATTATCCCAGCACTGGCTACCATTTACTCAAATATGATGAAACCAGAAGCTTCTTTGTAAGGTGATTCTGATGAGCATAGCTAGGAAGACGATACTGTGGTTAGGAAGTAAAACACCCAAGCAATGCTGATCTCTGTCCTTTCCTCCTGCTCCTGAAGGAGAACTTTCAGGGCCTTAGAAATAGAGATGCAGCTCTTAAAATTCCATGGCAGATGAGTAACACTGGGCATTAGCACATTCAAGACTAACATGTTCAGTGAGGTTTTAAAAAAAATGTTGTATTTGCTTTATGGTTAAACTTAGTCCCAAAGTGGTTGAGTTTAACCTTTTCTCCCAACATGTCTGTAAATAATCCCCAGAAGAGCTTTCCTTTAATATTGTTTGAAAAGTATTAGTTGGAGTTTGGATGAATTTTTATTTCAAAATTGTATACCAACTTTATTTTATAGCAGTGTGGAAAGTCAGAGGTGAGTTTTTTGAATTATTACTGTTTTTACTTTCCCATTAGATGCTACTGGTGTGTGTGTGTGTGTGTGTGTGTGTGTGTGTGTGTGTGTGTGTGTGTGTGTGAACAGTCTTGTATCCTCTAATGACACAATTGGGATTTTCAATGATGATAGGCTCCCTAAGGTCTAAGACTCAGTACAAATTACTTCTGTTGATATTTAAACTTTAGCAACTCCGTGGAAAAAGCAAAGACTGAAATTTCCCTGAAGGCCTAAAAACCTTACAAAGCCCTTTTAGCAAATAGCATAATATGTTCAATCCACTTAATCAGCTGAAAATAAAACCCAAGCCAATTCATGATTTCTAAGAATAAGTCCTACTTTTTTACTCTGCCCCTAACTAAACGTCTTCCACATTTCCAGTCATAGTTCATAGACACCTCCAGCAGGGCAAGTGTTCTTTGATGACCATTTGAATCATGGGAGGGAGGATTTGCTAGAGAACTTCCATATCCCAGAGTAAAGGCTAGTCCCAGAGTAACAAGAACAGCACCACTGCCTGGCCTGTCACCATGATGAACTCGTGTCTGAGGCTAGCTTAGAGAGACTATAATGGCATTATGTGAGTAGTGTGGCAAAGAGAAGGCACAGCTCTTTAACATCTAAAGAAAAATCCTACATCTGTGGCAGGTTAAGGATAATGGAGTCGTTATGCCCGCTAAGGTTTCTTTGAGTAGTAGTTTCCTGGGCTGTGTCATGTGTAACATGTTATAGACTAAAGCATATTAAACAGTCTATTTGGGAGGCTTTCTTACCTTTTTTATTCACTCTAGTTGATCATTTCAAGTAGACATGGATTATTTTGATTTTTCACAGTATACTTCTCAGTATTCTCTGAAGAATTTTCCCTTCATAAGTCTGGGACCATTTTAGATAACATCTAGAGACTTTGGGTTAGAAACCACCAAATTTGTAAAATAGACATTTTTTATTGCCCAAGTCACAAAAGCATATACAGGATGAGCATACTTTGTGTGACTTGTGGTAACCAGTTTCCTAGCATTGGAAGGGGACCTGCTGCAGTCACAGAGTAGTTTTGTCTGTTATATCCTAATAATTATTTTAAATTAATTTCAGATTCTTTTAATGACCACTATACTCACTTTGAAACAGTTGTGAATGCTCTTCTGATCAATGCTTTCGATGAATCTTTTCTGGAAACCTTGTATGGTAAGTGAATAATACCACTGGAACGTTTTTACATTTTCCTAAGCAGCTTTTGAAATTAGATGAAACAATGCCAAGACAAACCATTCTTAAACCTTGCCAGTTGTTCCTTCTGGAATAAACTACACTCTAAGTGCATTCACATAGAAGTCTTATTAATATTATTTGAGATATACAGACAGTAAGGATGTGACAAGTCCTTGCTCTCAAAGATTCTACAGTGAATTTGAGAATATAGAACATACCCCTAAAACAGAAGGTTGCCTCAACATTCGTATGCTTTCTCAGTTCCTCTAAGAATTTTGAGTTTCACCAAAAGACACATGCTCTTTTCTGCATTTATGTTTTGGTCCATGCTGTTCTCTGTAAAGATGTAATTGTTTTTTTATTATAGATATTCTAGGTAAATGTAAAAATATTTCTGTTGTAAAACTATGAATACTTTTCATTGTCTCACTTATACCATTCACATTCTGAGTATGGCTGTATCTGTATATGAGAATTCTTGTATTGAAAATGTATCTCTGTTTTCTTGCCTTATCAGAGTAAGAAATTAAACCATTAATATATACATGTCCCCAACACAGAATCTGACATTTCATGGACTATACATATGTTGTGCTGGACACCTGAGTGCCTAAATAAGATTTTATTCGTAAGTTATAGAACAAATATTTCTGGAATGCCATCTATGGTCCAGGCATTATTTGAGGATTGGTGATATGGTAATTTCAAACCACAAAAGATAAGGGATACATTAGATTTGTATCTTTTGTGGTTTGAAATTAATCAACAGACAATAAGTGATTAAACAAGTAGATAGACTAATATATGAACTAAAATTAGCATGTACTTATTGTGAAAATAAAAGCATATAGTTAGACAATAAGAAGAGAAGCTAATGTTAATTAGATGTGAGAGAGAGAGAGGGAGAGGGAGAGGGAGAGAGAGAGGGAGAGAGAGAGAGAGAGAGAGAGAGAGAGAGAGAGAGAGAGAGAGAGAGAGTGTGTGTTGAGTTGAGTTTAGGCAAGGTTTCTATTGCTGAGATAAATTGCCATGACCAGAAGCAACTTGGAAAGGAAAAGGTTTATTTCAGCTTATAACTCTCAGGTCACACTCCATCACTAAGGGAAGTTAGGAAAGGAACCTGGAGACAGGAACTGAAGCAAAACCATGGAAGAGTGCTGAGAATTGGCTTACTACCCCTGGCTTGCTCAATCTGCCTTCTTATACACCCTGGGACTACCACCTGTCCAGAGGTTGCAACACCCACATCAATCACTAATTAAGCAATTGTACTACAGACTTGCCTAGGCAAGTCTTATGGAGGAATCTTCTCAGTTGAGATTCCCTCTTCCCAGATGTGTCAAGTTGACATCTAACCAGGACAGATTGATAGATGAGCTATTATATATATATATATATATATATATATATATATATATATATATATATCACATATACATATATATGAAGATTGGACAGATTGGTCAAATAATGTAATGAAGTATCATTTAAACAGAAACATGAGTAAGGTGAATGCATTAATTTGCTTTATATTTCTGTGATAAAAATACTGACCAAAAGCAATTTAGGAAATAAAAATTTATTTGGCTTATGTATACTAGGTCAGAGTTCATTGAGGGAAGCCAAAAAAGGAACTTGGAGGCAGGAAGTGGAAAAAAAGACATAGAGGAATGCTGTTTACTGAATTCCTTTCCATGGCTTGCTTAACCTGCTTTCTTATATGACACAAGACTACCTGCCCAGGGGTAGTACTATCCACAGTGAGCTAGGCTTTCTCACTTCCATTATTAATCAAGAAAATGCTCTACAAATTTGCCTATAGTTAATCTCATGGAAATATTTTCTCAATTGAGTTTCCCTCTCCCTACATATGTCTAGGTTTGTGTCAAGTTTTTAAACACCAACCAGGACAATTGATCCCTTACTACTTTGACACACCAACATATTACTATTACACCATAACCTTTCCTTTCTTATTTGTTTACAATATCTCATATTGATATCAATGTCCAATATAGAATACATTTCAAATTTTAAAAGCTCCAGTCTTTACAAATTCAAACACTATTAAATTCTCTCTCTCTCTCTCTCTCTCTCTCTCTCTCTCTCTCTCTCTCTCTCTCTCTCTCTCTCT